TGGAGACTTTCAAAAGCCGCCTGGACTTGTTCCTGTGGGATCTACTCCAGGTGATCCTGCTCTGGCAGGGGGGTTGGACTAGATGATCTCTAGACATCCCTTCCAACCCCTGCCACTCTGTGAATTCTGTCTGTTCTCCTTTGTGGAGAAACATTACCTCAACGATATTTACTGATTGAACACTTCTAATTATGACAACCCTCTTCTCTTTGCTGGGAAAGCTTTAAACAAATTCAAGGAAGGATTCTTTGGAAATTACAAAAAGACCCACAGGAGAATACAATGGATTGTAGGATTAGGCTTCAAGTACTTAATTAATTATATTGAGGAAGGCTGGGCTAATGCTGGAGTTCTCTTAGGGGGGATCAGACCCTTTATCTTGTGAAATTTTTAGCACATCTTTCGATCAAGTACTTAGCAAGCAGGGGTGGTTTCTGTTTTCCCTGTGGTGTTTCCTATATGTATCCTAGTAATGCAAGACCCTGTCAGGTCGGAGCCCAGCCTTCTTCACATTTTTTATTTACTTCTGAGGAAGCAGATAGAAACATGTCCTCAGGAAGTGCAGGGGTTGCGCTTGTGCATGTTCCTGGCCCCTTGAGGTGAGATTCTGGTAGATTGGAGGTGACTTTGTCACACTTAGAAAAGGTGAGGAGAGAGGGAGGTGGAGAAATGTGTAGCCAGACCTTCTAGAAAAGTTTCCTATTATTCAGTCCTTCAACCTGCCCACTTGGAGAGGAAAGTGCCACCTGAAGAGTCTCTTCAGGCAAATCCCTTGGGGATAAGATGCATGGTGACAGGTGGGGTCTGTAGCTGGTGACACCCGTCACACCATGGATGCTGGACTTAAGTGAGGCTCGGCTCAGGCAAGGTGGACTCTGCAATGCTGTTGAAGGAACTGGATCAAACCAGCCCTGCCAGTGAGTGCAGCCATACCCTGGAAGCCACGAGACCTTCATTCAACCAGGGTCTGAGTCCTTTTCCATGCAATGGGGCTGCCCTGTGGTGTGTGACCCTGGGGTAGGTGAGAACCAGTACCTCTCTCCTGGGCAAAGCAAGAAGTATGCCCTGGGATGCCTACAGCACTACCCCTGGGGCCATGCCTCTCTTTTCCCCTGAAAGAAAGTCCAAGGTCTGCTGCAAAGGGCTCTGCGGCTGCACCTCAAACTTGTTTGAGGTATCTGCAAAGGGGTTGGCCCTTTAAACTGGCTTCCTGAGGATTCGTGGTCTTGCAGGAATCAAAGTGAGGGGAACGGGAGATGTAAAGGGCAGGATATGGTGCTGTTTCTGGGGAAGACAGTGCATGTCAGGGCCAATTCAGGAGAAACTGAAGGCCCTGCAATAGCTTGCCCTGTGATAGCTGTGGAAAAAGGAAAGAGAGAAGCAGGGCAAGAAAAGAAATATAAAAGGAGACCTTTGACCCTACTGGGGGCACTCAGATAAGCACAGGAGGATGTGCCTGCACCCAAAGCACCAGGGAGAGCAGGGGCGCAGCATAGCAGGGCTTGGCTCTGTATCTCGCTGACCCTTTGTCACAGGTGGGGCAGCCATGGGAAAGTCCTGGCAGCTCCTTGAGCCTAGCCCCACCTGCCAGCCATGGTGCAGGGTCTGCCCCACCTCAGGGAACTGTGTACCATTCAGGGTGCTGCAGCATCATATCATAGCAGGTTTCTCCTCTGCTCCAGCCTGCTGTCCCTACCGCTGCCCCACCCCCCCAACCACCCAGACAGCCTATTTCACTCACAGCTCGGCCTTGTTTATCTCCCAGAGACCGAGGGAGGTGAGTGGGGCTGCTGTAACAACCCAGCCAGCATTGCCCAGCACTGCAAGCAGAGCCCCAGCCTCCATCCATCCAACACATGGCAGCCAGATGCCAGCAATGGGTTGAACCAGCCCCATATCTCCTTTTTCTCACCCTCCCTTTCCCATTTCTGGCTGAGAGCTGCTGTTGGGCCCAAAGAGCTGGATGTGGTCCCTGGATGATGGGGCACA